GGTAGAGCTCATCAATGGATAAGCCAATACAGTTAATGATGGGGTTTGGAGTTGCATATGAATAGTGTTGCCTATATACATATTTCGTAATTAAGTTGCATAGTATAGAAGATACTTTTTTCCTAGAAACGTCTTCATAAATAAAAGTCTGATTTTATATCTAATTCTAATATCTCTTTTCCACAGAGGACATCAAATACAAAAATAAGATAATAAAGCGCTATCTTGGTATGTAGGTATGTACAAGGTTGTCCCAAAAGTTCGTAAACACTTACAAAAAATTGAAATACCAATATTATTCGCTGTTATGTATAATGTCTTTGTGGTGGTGGTGCTTATCTCCATGGTTAAATCAATTCCTGAAGTCCACTCCTCTCCAATTTTGCGATGGTAGTTATAGGCTTGGGGTCCTCTATTGTCAGTTCTGAGCATGATATGTTCAGAGAAGCTTCTTCACTATTGCATTTCAAGCAGTTATTGAAGATTTTTTTGTCCATTTTGAAATTTTAAGGTTTTTATATGGCCAACTTCTTAGTCTTGCTAAAGCTGTTTGTTGATTTCTATTGAGTTTTTGAAGTTTTCTAATTGTTTCAATGGTTTGTACCAGTGATGATTTGGATAAGCTGTCAGTTTTTGTAATTGTATTATGTATTATAATGTATTCGCCGTAATAATATTATTCGCCAAGTAATAAGAAAAACAAAGTTTTAAGTAAAACACGTACTTTTGGGACAATATTATATTTAGGGTTGTTATGTAAATGTATAACTTATTTACATATCCAGTGCTATTTGTGTTGCATAGTTTCATTTATTGTAAATAAATTATACGTTAATACCTATGTTTACACATGTACATTTAGAATGACTTTCTATTGGATAACTGTTTTACCATAACCGTTTGGTTATCCATTTAATAAAAAAAAAACCAAGGATTTTCCCAAAACCACCATAAAATAAGATGACATCAGATAACAGATAGAAAACTTTAATTGAGAATAGAAAAATAGTAAGTTGAGGAAATCATAAGCTACCATTGCCTTTTTCTGGAACGTAACTTCAAGAAAAAATATATCTCTTTGTAATAGAAATATGTTAGTTTATCTAACACGATTATTTTTTAAACATAATAATCCATATGTTTTAAGCTGAGCCAACAGATTATATATGTGAATAGGTCTTTATATTGTTGCATCAATACGCCCTACATTTATTCAAAATATTCTATGATATTTAATATTTATTTAAAACAGATTATTTAGATTATCATCATTCCTTTTTATAGTTTCATTCCTTTTGCAATATTGTTATTGTACATATAGCTTTATTGGTTATTGGAGCGAGAGAGGACCGAGAGGAAGACGGCGGATCACGACCTACGAGGAAGACAACGAATAAATAAACACAATAACTTTGAAAGGTAATTTATTTTATTTACTTTTCTTTATTTGCTTTGAGTATAGAAACCCGCTCGGGAAACGTGCATAACACCAAGAAGGAAGCAACCAAGGTCGACGACCCTGCAAAGCTGCAACTTGGTGCAACAATATTCATAATATTAATTCTCTGTTTTAATATTAAGATGAACACATTAGGCTTTCGTGGGTTAGTTTCTTTTTATCTTTATAAAGAGAGAGAGAGAGAGATTGATATTGAAGCTACACTCATAGACAAAACTTAAGGAAGTTGTACCTTTCACCATGTATATCTGGATTCAGACAATAACTCTGAAAGATATTACAGTGATCTTTATTAAAGACAATGGTATATAAATTCATGGACAAACCTTAAGGAAGTTTTATCTTTCAGCATGTATATCTGGATTCAGACAATAATTATGAAAGATATAACAGTGATCTTTATTGAAGACAATGGTATATACATTCATGGACAAAACTTAAGGAAGTTGTACCTTTCAGCATGTATATCGGGATTCAGACAATAACTCTGAAAGATATTACAGTGACCTTTATTGAAGACAATGGTATATACACTCTCATGGACAAAACTTAAGGAAGTTTTACCTTTTAGTATGTATATCGGGATTTAGACAAAAACTCTGAAAGATATTTCAGTGACCTTTATTGAAGACAATGGTATATACACTCATTGACAAAACTTAAGGAAGTTTTACCTTTTAGTATGTATATCGGGATTGAGACAATAACTCTGAAATATATTAAAGTGACCTTTATTAAATACAATGGTGTATACACTCATGGACAAACCTTAAGGAAGTTGTACCTTTTAGCATGTATATCGGGATTGAGACAATAACTCTGAAATATATTACAGTGACCTTTATTAAATACAATGGTGTATACACTCATGGACAAACCTTAAGGAAGTTGTACCTTTTAGTATGTATATCGGGATTGAGACAATAACTCTGAAATATATTAAAGTGACCTTTATTAAATACAATGGTGTATACACTCATGGACAAACCTTAAGGAAGTTGTACCTTTTGGTATGTATATCGGGATTGAGACAATAACTCTGAAATATATTACAGTGACCTTTATTAAAGACAATGGTGTATACACTCATGGACAAACCTTAAGGAAGTTGTACCTTTTAGTATGTATATCGGGATTGAGACAATAACTCTGAAATATATTACAGTGACCTTTATTAAAGACAATGGTATATACACTCATGGACAAACCTTATGGAAGTTTTACCTTTCAGCATTTATATCGGGATTCTGACAATAACTATGAAAGTTATTTGATACCCAGTGATCTTTATTTTGAAGACACATGATGTAACAAAGTGTGAACAAAATTGTCTAGTCCCTACTTTTTAAAGTTTTGTCCATGAGTGTACTTTATTTTATCGTTTATATAAAGTTATAGAAGTGTTTAATCAATAACATATATAGGTTTAAACACAAAATAAATTAATAAATAGAGAAAAAAACGGACTCTTTAATTTTTTTTTTCAACACCCAAAACGCGATATCCCGGCTAGAGATAATTGCGCCGATTTACATTTGTAAACAGAAGCAATTATGAACATATTATACAAGAAAATATTTTTTTCAAAGAGAAACACTAAGATAAATTATGAACCTGATCCTTTCAGGTTAGAAAGATAATAATAAATATATTTACATAAATAGTTAAATCTGTGACAATTCTCTTTCTGGTATCAAAACATCATATAGATCTACAACATTATTTACAATTATTTTAAGAAAAAGAGCATCTCCTTATCGTGCAACTGAAAGTTGCTGATGGCTTGCGACATCTATCGGAATAAATATCAACTATTCTCGTTAATTTTTAATTATTCCAGAATAGGCCAAATACCCATCAACTTGCACCACGCTGATGAAGGCCAACAGCCCGAAACGCGTCCGTGGTTAGCTTTTTTTGATTAATCAAGAATGGCTATTTGGCCAATTCTGGAATAATTAAAAATCAAAGAGAATAGTTGATATTTATTCCGATAGATGGCGCAAGCCATCAGCAACTTTCAGTTGTACGATAAGGAGATGCCTTTTTCTTAATATGTGCACCTTATCCCAGTACAAGATTACATTTGTACTATTTTTTCAACACTATTTACTGTCTGTTGTCTAGCGATAAAGAAGAGTGGGTATTCCAGCAGTAGGTGTCTCGAGTCCTGGACTCTGGGAAAATCCTGATGTTTTCTGCTTATATTTGAGAATGTTAACGTGAAGATTTCTCCCGTTACCTGCCTAATTGTTGGTATCGTCATCAACTCTTAGTACTTCATCTCGAACAGTTTACAAAATATTTTTATTGTTAAATGAGATTGTTCCGGTTGTCTTTATATTCTTGGATTTGTCCTTTTATTGACGCCACAATCGAGTACGTCCATGTCCCTCTCCAAGCCATTTTAACTGCTTCAGAGTCGCGGGGAGATGACCAGGACAGTATGTCTTGTACTCCTGGTACCCTAGACATGAAGGCTTCTGTCCTACTAAGCCCAGATAAATGTTAACAGACAAAGTCCTACCTTTGTGTGATGTTCCCATCAACAACACCCAATTACCCTGTATAAATTCTACTCTCCTCAATACAAATTTTAGACAAGAGTGGACTTCTAGACATGGTCTAGGAGATAAGCACTACCATGTTCTTGGCCTCCCTCGTTGTTCCGAGATTTAAATCTTCATGGCTTGGATTAAATCGAAGATAATGTTTTTATTAAATAATTTTTATACGGAGAGAATTAATGTCACGTTTTCTTTTTCAAATGGATCCAAACGCTAATTGGGGAGGAGACGAAAAACAAAGGAAATATCTTCTGTGTTTTGTCAAAATTATGAGCTTTCTTGATGTTATCAATCCAGTTCGTTCTTGGCCTTCCTATAATTGTACTTTTTATTTTTGTTCATATTACCTGCGTGGTACAGGCCATGATAACCATGGTGGGTAGTGGATGATTGCTTTTAAGGTAAGTGTACCACATGTCTACACATCTAGAAAGCGCAGTTCGACTTTTGCACTTACAAATGTGTAATAGATCCGTTTGGTTACTTGTACTCGCTGGTGGGGTTGGACTTTTACAAGAATCGGGGACAGCTGGAACATTAAAAAGAAAAAAAAAAACAATAAAAAAGTGTCCAATGTGGGATTCGATCCGGGGTCATGGCTGTTGGAAATAGATTATTTATTTTCCTGATAAGGGAGTAGGTGTGATCTAAACATATGCCACTGACACTAGATTATATTATGCTTATTGTACATATTACCAGACACTCTTTTGTACACAGTTATTTTCTCTCTCTCTTTCCCATTGTTAACATCATATGACTATTCTATTCACGGCCTAAAATTATTGTATATATATGTATAGACAAATGTAAAGGCATACATGTATGACAGCGCAAGTGTCCTTAGGGGGACATAACGCTTTAAATTGAAATAAAATTAAAATGTTAGATGCTACCCATGTTTCTTATCTATGACCTTTGTCACAGTACTGAAAGCTGCTTCCCAGCGTAGAGTTTTACCGACTTGTCTTCATTAGAACACCACAAGTTATTTCCAAGTGGTCACCCTCCCAAGTACTGACCGGATCCGATATTGCTTAACTTTGGTGATTTGACGGAAAACGTTGTTTCCAATATGGTATGGTGTGGACTGTGTGAAAGCATAAGTAAATAAATATATATACCACAAATATATATTTAAAATACATTTTTATTTCTTGCTATTTTAAAATGATAGCTAAATGATAAAATAACAGATATAGATAATTATATACATGGATTTTATAATGGAATGGAATCCACAGCATGTACACCAAGTAAGGAAGTTTGGGGTAAAGTCCTCTGAAGTTAGGAAATCTGTTCCAGACGAATTTTGACTCCATTCTTGGGACGTAAAAGCACAATGTCACGGTCCAGTTCAACATCCTAGGACAACAACAAATACACTCATTAACCATTTCGCTTTAACCAAACATATATAAATTAAGAAAAAAGCCATCTCCTTATCGTGCAACTGAAAGTTGCTGATGGCTCTCGCCATCTATCGGAATAAATATCAACTATTCTCGTTGATTTTTAATTATTTCAGAATTGGCCAAATACCCTTTCTTGATTAATCAAAAAAGGCTAATCACGGACGCGTTTCGGGCTGTTGGCCCTTGCACCACACTGATGAGGGTCAACAGCCCGAAATGCATCCGTGGTAAGCTTTTTTTTTTTTTTTTTGATTAATCAAGAATGGGTATTTGGTCAATTCTGGAATAATTAAAAATCAACGAGAATAGTTGATATTTATTCCGATAGATGGCGCAAGCCATCAGCAACTTTCAGTTGCACGACAAGGAGATGGCTTTTTCTTAATTTATGAAACTTATTCCAGTACAATATCACATTTGTACTATTTTTCATATATAATTTGATTCTTCAGCTTTTTAAACTTTTTATATTGTCAAGTCGACAAGTTGGGAATACCAGAGTCATGATGTTAAGGTAATTCCACTCATAGACAAAACTTAATGTAGTTGTATCTTTTAGCATGTACACTCATGGACAAAACTTAAGGTAGTTGTACCTTTTAGCGTGTACACTCATGGAAAAAACTTAAGGTAATTAAAAAAACCTATAGGATTCTGTAAGAATATTATGGATATCATCAATCATTGTGGACTCACATGGCTAAACTATAGATTAAATTATGATGACATACAGATCGAACTTCCGAATATACTAAAAATAAAAATTGAACAGCTATTGCAGCAAGATCTGGCAAAATTATCTCTTACGAAAACATACTCAAACTATAGGTTACTTTATGATTCATTTATTCCAGAAAATTACTTTTCATGCAATCTGTCTTCAGCTTTAGTGAGTTTTATTGCACAGATCAGATTAATGTCAACAATGATCAAAGAAAATCATATTTACGCAATTAAGAAAGAAGATTTGTACTGTGGGTTATGTGGAAGTCAGATAACTGATGAAATATACCATTTTATTGCTGAATGCGGGGATCTGGAAGGAGAGAGAAAAAAGATCCTGAAAAGTCTTCCTAGACCGCATTTGAACTCAATAAAGTTAATAAAAACTCTTTCAGATAAGAAATGTTGGGCAATTGAACTGTTCAACTTTCAAAAAGCGGTTGGGAATAAAATTGCACTCATGGAAGAGAGAAGAACAGGGGCACAATAAAAAGTCACCCTGTTTGACATACCTTGACTGTAAATACTATATTTTCACCTGTTATCTTATGGTTAATATTGTCTGTAACTCCACGGAGAATCCGTACAGGGCAAGATGCCCTAATAAAGCTGTTTTGTTGTTGTTGTTTGTAACTTAAGGTAATTGTACCTTTTAGCATGTACACTCATGGACAAAACTTAAGGTAGTTATACATTTTAACATGTACACTCATGGACAAAACTTAAGGTAGTTGTACCTTTTAACATGTACACTCATGGATAAAACTTAAGGAAGTTGTACCTTTTAACATGTACACTCATGGACAAAACTTTAGGGAGTTGTAACTTTTGGCATGTATATCTGGATTCAGACAAATTTATAGGATGGAGACATTCAACGCTATTGATTCTCCCCATAGTTTCCCTAGTTTCGTTATCCCCATCACGAAGACACGAAGAACAGATATACCGTATAAGTAAAATGAACATACAATAGTTGTAGCTTATATCTGCTGGTTTATATTGGTGAAATCACTGGGAAGGTTCACCACTTCATCAGTGTTTTCCCAATTTTCTTTTTCATATTCAGTTCAATAATTGTAAAAATCTTCCTTTATTTAAAAAAGGCAATAGTCTTGAATGGTTCCATTCTCTACATAATAACTTGTATAACTTCAACAGTGTATAAGACCAATTAGGTTCTCCTGTAAATATAGATTATATATATTATCATTAAATATAAATTAATTATGAGGCAATAAACGCGCCATCTGTATACAATAAATAAAATAATTAAAGAATTCTGTTTAAAAGAAGCATTCGTGATTCAATACTTTCACATTTTTAAAATGTAAATAGTGAAGAACGGGTTTGTTGAGGTAACGATGCTATGCTATGTAAGCATCTATGAAGTACTAAAAATACACTTATTTGCATATATCTCTCTCTAATCTTCAATGCTGCTATGTGATAATCTACCAAGTTACTACAGATCCTGAGTTGTATATGCCTTATATTCAAATAACTCTGTTATGTATAAGGATCTACCAAATTAATACAAGTCTTGAGTTATACGTCCTGCTATGAAACAATCTACCAAGCTACTACAGATTCTGAGTGGTATATTCCTTATCTTCAAATACCCCTGCTATGTATAAGGATCTACCAAATTACTACAGATATTGAGTTACACATATTGCTATGAAACAATATACCAAGGTACTATACAGATCCTGAGTTGTATATGCCTTATAGTCAAATACCCCTGTTATGTATAAGGATCTACCAAATTACTACAGATCCTGAGTTATACGCCCTGCCATGAGATAATCTACCAAACTACTACAATGCTATGTGACAATCTACCAAATCTCTACAGATCCTGAGTTGTACTTACCTGCTCAAAGCTCTTGCCAGGAAGCAGTTTGTACTTAAGAAGTATTGTTGACAAGGCCATCTTGAGCTCCATCTGGGCAAACCTCATCCCGATACAATTCCTGGGACCGGCACCGAAGCTCTGGAAGGCGAATGGATTGATGGAATTTTTGTTTTCTGGGAGGAACCTGGAACAACCACAACTGAAGTCCTGCAGTCACCTGGTGTGAGGGGCATTATATCGCACAATGCGTTGAATTCTCCTTAAAATATTTTAAATATAATTTGAATTCAACATTTTCACATACATTTAATGCTGGATAAATGATGAGAAATAGGTAGAAGAATGACAGGTATCGCAGGACATGGAGTTGAGGTAAAGTGTGAGACGGACCTGTCGCGTGCGTTGAACTCGCCTTAAAATATTTTGAATATAAATTTAATTCAATATTTTCACATACATTTAATGCTGGATAAATGATGAAAATAAAATGACAGGTATCGCAGGACATGGAGTTGAGGTAAAGTGTGAGACGGACCTGTCGCGTGCGTTGAACTCTCCTTAAAATATTTTGAATATAAATTTAATTCAATATTTTCACATACATTTAATGCTGGATAAATGATGAAAAATAGAATGACAGGTATCGCAGGACATGGAGTTGAGGTAAAGTGTGAGACGGACCTGTCGCGTGCGTTGAACTCTCCTTAAAATATTTTGAATATAAATTTAATTCAATATTTTCACATACATTTAATGCTGGATAAATGATGAAAAATAGAATGACAGGTATCGCAGGACATGGAGTTGAGGTAAAGTGTGAGACGGACCTGTCGCGTGCGTTGAACTCTCCTTAAAATATTTTAAATATAATTTGAATTCAACATTTTCACATATACATTTAATGCTGGATAAATGATGAAAAATAGAGAGAAGAATGACAGGTATCGTAGGACGTGGAGTTGAGGTAAAGTGTGAGACAAACCTGTCAGGATTGAAGGTATCAGGATCCTGCCAGTAATCTGGATCACGCTGTAGAGTGTAGGCAGGGATTTGTATGGCCACTCCTTTGGGGACGGTGAACTTCCCGCACGGGATATCCTCGGTGGCCTCTCGGGTGACAAACCTGACACAAAGGATGAGACATCAAACATAGCACGCACGAATTCAAAACAACTAATTGAAAAAAAAAGCAGCACAAATATTGTAGCGTAGAAATCAAGTATTTGTATATCTTAAGACAGTGATTCTCAACCTTTTTTTTGTTGCGGCATTATTTTAAAGATTTGAAAATTTGGCGGCACAATTTTAGAATTTCGCGGCACACTTTTGCTAACTTGAATGCAAGAAAATTCAAATTATGTATCAATATTTCTATGCAAAATATAAGTAATATACATCTCTAACATTCAATTTGCTAATTTCGTTATTTTAAAAAGTAAAAAAATGAAAAAGAAAAAAGAAAAACCAATACAAACGTGAACATAATCATATGACTAAAATTCGGCGGCACATTTTTAGAATTTCGCGGCACACAAAATTACCGCGGCACATTGGTTGAGAATCACTGTCTTAAGATGTAAGCGTATTTATTGATGACGTCAGTAAGACAAGTCGACAATTATCAACAACTCAACAACAACTATGTACAGATAGAGAATCTTGAATAAGCAAGCAAAGAAATATTTTAAAGATGATTTTACAAATACAGAGTAATATATAATTATATAATCTGTTGTATATTTTCTCATTGAATAATATTAAATTAAATAATAAATTATTTCTTCGCCACAATATGATATTGTACTGGGATATGGTGCAAAAATTAAGAAAGAAAAAGGCATCTCCTTATCGTGCAACTTAAAAGTTACTGATGGCTTGCGCCATCTATCGGAATAAATATCAACTATTCGTTAATTTTTAATATCATTACAGAATATAACAAATACCTATATTTACTAATTGTGAAATAAAATATTTTGAATTGTCAATTACAGGATTAATTTCATTTAAGATTGAAACATTTGAACTGTTATTTGTCCATGGCGATCTGAATAGCTTTTATCGTGTCTATATTTTATAGACTTCAATTCT